TGCTGAACGGCGCCCGCCCGGTTGGTGCGAGCCGCTCCCCCGAGGTGTCACAGCGGAGCTCTGGGAAAAGCGGCAGCTTAAGTTGCGGTCCCGATGGGGGGAATAGCTGCAGCACCTGTGGGAAAGTGTGAACACCCCCAGTTCTTAGTCTGCCAGCATAAACGGCCCTTCACCCGCAGCCTGTCATCACAGGTGTTGGGTTCTATGGAGGCAGAGGTTCTAACGAGATTTTGAGAGAGGATCAGTAAAACCACTTACTCCAGACCAAGCCATTCCAGTGTTCCCTCTGCCAATTCTCCAGAAGCAGAAGTGCTGCAGCAAGGGAGCTCCTAAAGGGACAATTCCCAGCAACTGCATGTGAAGCCTTCAAGATGTTTTGTGGTTTATTTCTTTAATGTGAGATCTGTGAATGGAAACATTTGTCATCGAGAAGTGGCAGTGTGCTGCTTCAGCACATGCGAAGCTATTGAGTGGTTAGCTCCTCGGGAACTGGAAGTTCATTAACTCCAGACCTGCTCTTACACTTTTATGTCTTAGAGAAAGGACATTTGTTATTCTGTACCACCTCACACCATTGTCTAGGGTGAGGGAAAAGAACTGACCTCCAGGAAGAAGGGATTCATTCCAGTCAACAAAATGTGGTGGAGGGAGCCCATCCGGTCTATCATAGGGGTATTTTCATGTGAAATGTTTCTTTTCTTCTTGCTTCTGTCATTAGTATTGTTGCTATTACTGTTCATTTCCTTATCTGGTTGCTATTTCCAGGAAATTGTTCTTACATCAGCCTGCAATCTTTGCCTATTTTGCCTCCAGTTCTCGTGTCCATCCTGCTGCTAGGGGAAGGATGAGGGGAAATTGGGGGAGCAAGAGAGGGTGCCGTGTGCTTGTGGAGAGTGTTGGTGGGGGGACTGATTTGGGGAATACCATTCCTAAACCATAACAGCAATACAGGTTACAGCAGCAGTACAACCTAGTCCCGCTTTGTTTAAAATTGTGCTAATGTTGTCACACAGCAATCTTGTGACAGCCAATGCAGCCAGCTCTTTATTTCAGTCTCCTCAACTCAGGCAGTCCTCGGTTGTTGTGGTTTCTATTTATCCTCACTGCTCTTTGCTAAATGTCTCATAGCGCTGTCAGCAATACCAAAGCCACAAAAATTCAATTACTTCTTTCCTCCCTGGGCACCTTGGACTGCTCAGTAGCCACTTGTTACCTTTAGCACCAGTGCTGCCTCTCAGAGTTCTTCAGACAGCACTCTTCCGCTACACTGTGATCTGACCTGCACAGTGTGCATTCTCTTGCCTTTCTTTTTTGGTCACATTTTTTGGCTGCAGATTCTTCAAGGCCAGGAATTTTTTGCACGCTGAGCAGACTGTGATAAGTCCAGCCATCTCACTCAGGTACTTTAGGTAGTTCCTCTGAAATCCTACAGGAATATCCAACAAGGAGGGATCAGAAGTGCCCTGTGCCTCCAGTCTACATTACTTTTCTCCAATATCCAGGAAGGTTCAATTGCCATTCTCCCAGAAAGGGTCTGCCTACCTGAAAGAATCTCCTCTTTCTAATTTTTTATTTTTTTTTAATGCTGAACTCCTAATAGAAATAGCTAAGCTGGTGGGTGTTGATTCTTCATGGGTGAGAGGGACTAACCTGCCAAAACTGGTTTTCCTCCCAGATTTTGGGATCTAGTTGATCTTTGCCTAAGGTAAGTTTTATCTTGATGCTTCTTGTGGAAGTCACAACGAGTCTTCCGACCTTGTCCAGGGCAATATCTATAGAGTTCAGCTATGTGAATTTAATTTGTAGCTTTATGGAACATTTCCCAGCTTTAAGTAAAGTTTGTACTGAAATCTTGAGAGATACTGTAAGCTTTACAATGACTTTTTTTAATATAAATTATTAAATAAAACATTACTGAATCCATTTTTCCTGTGAAAATGAGCACATTTTGGAAAGGAAGGAGATCATTCTTCCTCCAGGCTTTAGGCATTTTAACTTTCCAGGGGAGTCATAGCACTATCTAGATGTATTCAGAGGGATTTTCTGAGATGCAAGCAGAATGTACATTCACTATCCAGGTGAATTCAAGGCCACTTTCTAGTCTGCAAGCAGAACATATTTTCTTTAACTTTATACTTGCAAGTGATGTAAGGCAGCATGTGGATAACAAAATGGAAAAAGGTTATTTTATTGTCTATAGGATGTAGAGGCAGGCTGCTGATTTGTCACACACAGAGGAGTTAGAGCTGTTCAACACACCTTTTCACCTGTCTGAAGATGTTCATGCACAAGAACATGTACTCCTGTAAACTGCATTGATGACAAAGGTTGGGTGGCTTCAGAACAATTTATTCCAGCACTGAAGCTTTTTTACTTGTTGGATGACACGAAGACCATTTCTTTGTATAGAGTATCTCAGATACATGAGCTTATGCATTTCCTCTGAATTCCCTTCTAGTTCCAATGGTTCAGCTACTTAAAAAAACTCTGGAGTAACACCTCGTGTCTTTGAAGTGTATGAGTGTATGCATATATTTGTTCTACTAGTTTGCCTTAGTGATGTTTGCAGGAACTGTTTTGATGTGAGTGCAACCATTACAGATAAGCACAGAAGGATACATTCAAAGTACTCCTGTAATATGAAAAAGTTACCCTTTTTATGCCTCAGACTAAAACATGCAAAAGTTCTTGCCTGATGGCATTTTTCCACCATTTTTTCCCACTGCGAAATTTCTGTTGCAGTGTATTGTGCCCCCTCAGGACCCCAGACCACTTACTACAAAGCTCTGACCAAACAGGAATTTTCTGGGTCAGAACCAACACTTTGGACTCTCTGAAGAAAATGAGTTTTAAATTATGACTTGGATAAAGCAATGGGGAGAGAGGATTTTGGATGAAGAACAGAATTTCATAAAGGGGACAGGCTTAAGGTGGACAACTTACAGCAAGCAGAAGGAGAAAAGAACTAAAGCCACGGCACTCATAGAGGCACAGAGGAGGTCTAGAAGATTTACACATTTGTGAATTTCCATCAGATTTATAATTTTGGCAATTAATATGGCAGGCTTTCCAACTCTTGCAGCTGTTGATCTGCACAATGACTTTGAACCCCAGGGCTTATTGGCAGGTGAAATTAAAATTCATTTGTAGGTCAGGGAGTCTCATACAACCAGAGAACCTGGGACTGTCAGTACTTATGCAATCTGCATGTATGCAGTGGCTATGAGCCTGTAAGCCACTAGCTTTTATGAGGCTGACTGATATTCTCAACATGCTTTTCTGTGGAATCAGTCTTTCATCATCCAAGGCAATATTGCTGTCAGTTATGGCATCATGTATTTGATCCAGTTATTCATGTGACACAAACTGAGGCAGCCCTATTGACTTCACTGATATTAAGATGGCTTATTCTAGCAAGGAGCTGGCTGTATTTTTTGCCCTTCAGTGTTTCTCATTAGAAAGTGTTTACCTTGCACAGTTAATTTATGCAGGTGAAACATTGCCATCATCACAGTTTCTCTGATCAAATGGAAGCTTGCATTCCTGTTAAGGAGCACTGCTGTAGGTTTGGGGAAATGAAAATGGCTGCAAGTGGATAAAGCAAAAGAGAATTGTACAAAGGGGTGTGCAGAGGAATGGACTAGAGCATTTTCCTGCTGGAATTAGTGTTTGTGCTTCCTCACACAGCTCGAGACCTCGTGGGCAGCTGAGGGCTGTGGGCCGGCCTGGGGTGTGTCACTACGGCTCCAGGTGGGATTGCTGTCCTGGCTGGAGAAAGAACAACAAGGGCCACTGTGAAGGTAACATTACCTTTCTGCTTGTTTCCTCTCTGCTGCTGCCTACTTGGTACTAATAAGCAGGTTTCTTACATGTCTGCCAGAAGTTACAGAAGGAAAACTCTGAGGAGTGAAATCTCCAAATCTGTGAGAGAGCAAATAAAACTTGCTTGAGAGACCATCTCCTCAAAAAAAAGCAGAGCTTTGGGTAAATAACACCAAACCACAACTTGCATGTTCAAAAATTCTTAGATCCATAAGGCACCATCTGTTCTAACCTCCTGCACAGCCCTGGTCAGTAGCTGCACTGTTACAGCTGTTGAGTACATGCCATAAATACAGTGTTTTCTAATGCTATATAAGGATCTCTAAAATTATTTTATATCAGTTGGTATCCTTTATCTTCAGATTACACAGCCTCTGAGAACCATTTTTCTAAAAATACTAAAAAAACCTCAATAATAAGTGCCCCTGACTTGAGCTTGGGTAGCCAGCCAGTGTTCTGGTCTGTGGATCGTTTTCTTAATGAAGAGACAATGACTCTTAGGACACTTCTAATTTGTGAAAGGTCTACATATCCCAAGGAGAGTGCAGTGTAGAATATCTCTATCCAATTTTGCTTGGGCAAAACACAACAAAATCATAAAATGTATATGTTTTAGGTCTTCTCAGATGTTGTGCTTGTTGTCCCAAAGAGTTTGGCCCTTTATATCTAGTGAGTTTGTATAGAGGCTTAAGATTATTCATTGCTGAAAATCCATTTGCTAAAAGGGAAAGATGCTGAAATGTCTCTGCTGTGTATATATGATATGCCATTTTAACAAAAGAAAAAGGGATTATTGTAGTATTTCTTGCATTGCTTAATTGCACTTTAGTTTTGATGCAAATTAATACCTGGAGAGATAACTGGCAAATGTAACTTTTGATCAGCCAGTGAAGTAGGTTGTCTTGTTTTAAAGCAATAGGTTTTCATAAAATTTTAAGACTGTCCTTTGGCAAATCACTTTAAGCCATCCATAATGTAATTCTGCATTGTAAATCCAGATGTGCCAGTTTTCACTGCTTCAGTGCTAACACTGCAAACTTGTCTTTTGCAAGCTGATCTGGCATCCCCTCAGTTACAGAAGAGAAAGGGGTCCATTCCATCCCATGGGAGAACATCCCAAGCAGGGATGCTTTGGATCCCAGGGGAGCAAGCTGGCCTTGCTGTGTGCCACATTGCATTCAGGGCTGGAAGAAATGTAGAAAAGTGCCTCAGTCTGCAGAGTCAGTACCTTCAGTACATCTGAACGTATCTGTTAATGGAGGGAAGATACTTGAATTCAGAAAAATGAATTTTAATATGAATTTTACTATATAGCAACTAAACTTTCCTATAGTTTGCAGATCAGCTTAACTACATAAGGAATTGAGATTCACACCCTGGTGCACACTCTTTCACTGTTTCCTCAGCGGCAGTCCTGTCATAAATGCATGTTTGGTTTGCTCTTCCTGAATAACCCCCATGCTGACAATTAAAGTGATTTCAGGAGCCTTAAGTCTTATAAAAGTCAGCATTTAATTTCTGATTGATGATCCAGATGACTTAGAGTTGCTCTTTAATGCATCCAGGTTAAATGTAGCCCTCTCAAATTATTGTAAACATGATGCCAATATGCTCCCTGGGATGTGTGCTAAGGACAGTTGCCTGATGACAAATGTGCTCTGGATGTTCCCCACGGGACAGACACGTTCCTCAGCTGTAACTGAGGAGATCCAAGACTGTAAACTGCTGTAGGATTATGTGTCTCCTTTGGCTCTAGGAGAGTGCTGCTGCCTCTTTCCTGCTCCAGATGCCAAGCATAGCAATTCAAGCTGCTGGCCAGCTGCTTCTCACAGAGGCTTCCTAAAGAAAGGAAAAAGGCAGGAGTACAAAACTAAATGTGCCTTGTAACTATTGCAGAAAAAAAAAAAAAAAAGAGGGAGAGAAGAGGGAGAGACCTTTTGTCTTTACAAACCTGGAAAAAACCAAATTCTTGTAATTAATGTTAGTGCCACTATTCTGAGTTAGTACCACCTTTTAGGCAACTAAGCAGGGCAAAAGTTCTCAGATAGAATATTTCTAACTTTTTATTTTTCTCTTTCTTTTCTCTGCCTGACTCCACCAGCTACCTGTGGACATGGTTGCAAGTATGGCGAGTGCATGGGACCAAACAAATGCAAGTGTTTCCCTGGATTTACAGGGAAAACCTGTAATCAAGGTTTGTGCATGTGCTCCAGAAAGGAGAGACTGTTGGTTTTCTGTTTCCTTGTCTTGTGCTATGGTTTTTGTAATCGTCCAAAGCAGTAAACCAGGATGCTTTTTTGTTTATGTAGAAGAACTTAAGAATTTAAGGCTTTTGCATCTCCAGCATCCCAGGCAAGCTCTAAGCCTCCTTCAGCAGACAAAAGTTTGGACCTATATTGTTTATCTCCTATGGGCTGATGACGAGGGCAAACTCATGTTTATAGTCAGAGGATTAAGGCATGGAGAGATTATCTAGGAAGGTATCAGAAGAGATGGAAGCCAATTCCAGAACCCGTGTTATTTTCTTAACTAGCAGCCCATGTTTCTTTGTAAATTAATCTTCTAGTCAGAAAGACTTGCATTATTATATGGTAGATATTAATTTATCAATCTGCCTGGGCTGTTTATATATGCTGATGGTATTTCTGAGAACCATCATTGGGAGTCCTTAAAATTGCGTTTTCAGAAACTTGAAATGCACCATTTTCCCCCCATAAGTTTGGAATTTGACATGGAAATATTTGTTAGCACATTGCTAAGAATTCAGCTTTTTTTTTTTCTGTTCCAAAATATGCCCTGTCTTGGGTCAGATGAAAGGAGCAGGTCGCTGTGCATGGAGAGGCAAATGAGTGAACTGTAGGTGCTATGATGGAAGCATGACATAAAGACCACACAAATGACTAGGTCTGTCCTTGCTACCTTCCTGAGCTCCTGCAGACTTTGCTTGAAAATATTCCATTGACATGCTAAACACACATTTTTTTATAGTCAAACCAGCCCGTTTATTACACAGTATCTTTCAAACAATATGCCCTAAAGATATGTTAAGTATTTTGAAAAAATCCATCTTTTGTTGTTTCTCACAGGGAAAGAAGTTAACTCCTCAGCACCACTAGAGAGGAAAGGGAAACAGCAGCTGTGGTGATGTGTAACAGATATATAAGTACCACTTACAACTTCAGCCTCTAAACACAGAAGTTTAACCTCAAAAATTATTTGGCATCCTAAATGTTGCTGAAAGGCAACAGAGAAGCCCTCAGCCTTTAGGTGCTTTCTGTGCAGTAATTCCATGCGCATTTGACATGCTCTCCACAGGCAACCTGATCAGTTCTGTGCACTTCAGCAGGTTCTGAGTCTGAGGCTTGGAGGAAGCACTGCACAGACTCCCTGTTAGCTCCTGGGCTTTTCTACTTCCTGAAGCAGGAGCAGGATTTTTTCATTGGAGTGGTGGCTGGCACAGGCCAGAAGTGTCCAAGAGCTGTTTGTTTCACCAGTATAGCTGTATAGGTGGTCATGTTCCATCAGCCAGGACTGCTAATACCCACTTCTAATTCACTGGCAGATGTAGCCTTGGTCTGTCCTTACAGCAGAATGTCCTGCTGAGCAAGCTCAACAAGAGCTAACTAAAATAATTGTTTTTACAGTCATGTAGACACTTACTTCCCATTCCTCAATAATGACATGGAAAAAGGAAAAAAAAATATAGTAGGTCTGCTTATTCAGAGATAAGAGGACTCTGTTAGTCTGCCACCAAGTCTGAGCTAATTAGCCTTATCTCCATAGGTTCTTTTTTAGAGCTGTGTATGCTCTCTGTGCATTGAGAGAGATAGGTACAGATAAGCACTTTTGAAAATGTATGGTCTAAGTGGAATAACTTTTGTTCCCTAGTGTGCTCTGCAGTTTCTTTGTAAAGAGAGTCTTAGTTATTTAGTGGAGTCATAGTAGCACAAAAATCCAGTGTGATTTGCAAGCAGACAGGTTGTAATTTTTCAAACAGACCCTGTGGGAATAATAGAATGCAACCCTCTCTCTTCCCTGGACTGAGCTGTAACAAGCACTTGTGCACCTCCACAAAGTTTATGCTTTGAATGGCCTGGAGGTTTTGTTCCTGTGGTCTGCAGGGTGTGACACAAGTACAAATGCCTCTCCCATTGGAAGTGCAGTTCCTCAGTGCTTGCCTGGAGAGCTGCATCTTTACTGAAATTGGATTATTGGTCATATGTGCTAAACACATATTGAATGGGCTGCATATGCTAGTGCATTCTGTAAATAAGTTCCATCTATTTACTAATCACTAGAAGAGGTAGAGGTATCAGGTCATGGGAGTAAAAAACACAGATGTTGTCCCCTTGTCATAGGCAAAATATCATTGTCCGCACTGCTCACCCTATACCACACAAATAAACGTTTCAGAATTCTCATTTTCTCTCTTGAAGGATAGATGTTGGGAATTTGAAATTGATTTAGTTTCTGAAAAACCTTTAAGTCCTGGAGTTTGAGAAGGATTTAGGATGTTTGATTCTCAGGATTTTGATATTTTTGAGACCCTTTTAAAGTCACATAATTATGATCATAAATTGTATTTCATTTCTGCTACTGATAGCCTTGGTGCCAGTGTGTAGCTCAGAAAAATTGAAGTAAAAATCTTTGTTTCACATCAAACTTTTTTGCTATTCTTAGTCTCATGTTTTTGCTTTTCTAATTCAGAGGTCAACTGGAGGGCTAGAACCAGAAAAAATCCATTTAAAAACTCCCAAAAAAAAAAAGATTAGCTACAATTCTCTCCACCCCTCCACTTCTTCCTAACAAGGTGCCAGATGTGGCCAGAGTTTGAATTACATTTTCAAGTGTAGAGGTCTGTGTACATTGGTTTTACTAGCAGTCTTCCAGCCAGATGGTCTGCTCAACTCTCATCTTGCAAGGGGCTGGCTTATTTTCCATCCAGACAATTTCACTCTGGGGAACTCCACACACTAGGCAATATTATCCATCTATATGCATGAATGTATGTATAAAAGCCCAGCACTCACTCAGTTCCAATGATTCCTGCAGATGTGAATGAATGTGGGCTGAAGCCACGTCCCTGTGCGCACAGATGTATGAACACACACGGCAGCTACAAGTGCTATTGCCTCAACGGATACATGCTGATGCCAGATGGCACATGTGCAAGTAAGTACCAGAGCTGATGGAACAGACACACAAAAATCACCTAATCACATCTAATCCCAGCAGATTTTGTTCTTGGGATGAACTGATTTAGTTTATTCAGGATAGGGTCTTTGCCCCTGCTCCCTGGTACTGTTGCAGCTGAAAGAGGTTTCCGATTTGGTAGCTCCTGGGTGAAGTAATCTAGGTCTTACTTATAGTTTGGTCATTAGAGGTGTTTTGGTCCTGATAGAAGTAAAAGTCTTCTTCATCTGAAGCAACAGTCTCTTGATCTGTTGCTTCATATGAAGAACAGCTAGTACAATCTCAGTGTACGATCCTGCCAGTTCATCTGTTGAATAAGGATAACTGAATGGATTCAAGCAAAGCACCAATACAGATAACTTTTGACTGTGCTGAATTTCATGCATTATTCTTTGCTTTACCTTTCTGTGCTCCACCACTGATTTATTTTATCTGTGTTAATATGCTTTTGACGGTTGGTGAAAACTGTTCTTGCAAACATTTGCTGTATGATCTAAGGCTTATCTAAACTTATGAAAATAGGTATTTCTACCTATCTTTTTTGTCTTTAAGCCAGCATGAAATGGAAAGCATTCTGCCTTTTTTAGCCAACCTGATTTTTCAGACCTGGGGAAGCTTCTAGTTTATTGGTGACAGAGTTTTGTTTGTAGAAAATATCTCATGGACTCCTCAATTTTTTATATGTTAATTTATAAACAGCTTTCTTTATAATGAATGGATTTTTGTTGTTCTGATTAATTTCTGTGTTTATACATATCTAAATTAAAATTGTGTGATTCCTGCCTAGAATTTTGCTTTTTTTGTTATTTTAAATACTGTTTTCAGGTTCTAGGACATGTGACATGGTGAATTGCCAATATGGATGTGAAGAAGTCAAAGGCCAGGTGCAGTGTCTCTGTCCATCAGGTGGCCTTCAGCTGGGACCAAATGGAAGGACATGCATTGGTATGGTTAGAGAGCTCACTCACCTTCTTTTCTGCAGGATCCCTGAAGCCATAAGATTCTGGGGAAAGGTTAGGAAGTAGTTAACCCTCCTCACTGGCTTAAATAATGCTTCTTGTTACTCTCAGTGTGATGTAAAATTTTAATATTTTTTAAAAAAATATTTTTTTCTTGAACTATTGGCCATGTAATTCTTTGGATAACTCTCATCCCCAGTAAATAATTCAATGTTTTGACATGATTTAGAGTCATCAACAGATTTTGTTTCTCCCTATTGGTATGAGGCCATTAATTACTGTGCATTATCTGCAGGAAGCTGCCTTGCTGACATAACATATTATAGGATTTGGGCATTTTGTTTGAATGGGGCTTCTTTTATTGTGGTGACCCACAATACAAACTTCTCAATTTTTCTTCAGAATCCTCAACATTACCTGTAAGTTTCCTGTGATGAAGAAAGCATTGGTTATAATACTTGGTACTGTGTTCTTCCATGAAGTTAGTTCACATTTTACTGCTTCACTCATAAGAACACGTGCGAAAGCCACCACCAAATATGAAATCATAAGATTTATTTCTTAAGTTTATTTGTGACAGCCAAGAACAAACCATTCTCATGCAAATCCCAGTGAGTTTTTTCCTATTTTACCTTCCCATGGATCTGACCAGCATCCCTTCTCCTGCTGTAGACATTGATGAATGCTCCACAGGCAAGGCTGTCTGCTCGTACAACCGCAGATGTGTCAACACATTTGGGAGCTTCTACTGCAAGTGCCAGCAGGGATATGAGCTGAAATACACTGGTGGCCGCTACAGCTGTGCAGGTAGGAGCCAGCCCATGCTTGTTCCTTCTTCATTCTTCTCATTCCCACAGAGCACATCTTCCCTGTGGTTGCCCCCCGCACATTGTCCTGTCCTGGGGATGCTGCCTCAGAAATGGGTAGAAGATGTCACACTAAGAATATTCTTGATGGGACTTTGAATTTTTCTCTGTTTTTTTTTTTTTTCTGTAGCCTTATGAAAAACCAAATCACTGGCACTTGCAATTTAAATTGCCTCATTGTGCCAAGTCAAGGTGTGCAAGAGCTCGTTCTAAGTTGGCAACTGTTGACTAAAAAAATGCTACTTCTGTTAAAGGTTTTGTTAAAGAATCATTTTTTGTTGTCTTGGTTTCAAACTGTGATGAATAAGCAGACCTACTATATTTTTTTTCCTTTTTTCATGTCATTATTGAGGAATGTGAAGTGCCTTCATGACTGTAAAAACAGTTATTTGGATGGTTTGAACAGAACTTGAGGAAAAAAAAGAATGAAAATAGTAGGTTTCAATTACTTTTCAGGTTTCTGTTGCATGAACAAGTTTCTCCCTAACAAAAATAAATACAGGCAAAAAGTTATCTTGACATTCTCAGCGTTAAAACAAATGTCAAAACATGCTTAACTCCTGTTTCAATCCATTGACTGAATGCTGGAAGAGCAGCAAAATATAAGTTACTGCAGCAGTTTCTGCAGGAGTATTGTTCAAGCTGCTGACTACCCAAGGGCCTGGAAGTGTTGGAACTAATACACATGCATAAAAAAGACAATTAATGGGATTTGTTTATGTTTAATTGATATTGGAAGTGAGGAGTGGGAGGAAGATCATAAGCAAGTTTGGAGACTTAGGCTTGTATTTCATGTCTGCAAACCCTGAGAGACTTCAAGTGGAAAAAATATTTTCTTTTCTCATACAATATGTGTGCACAGGAGAAAAATTGGAACAGTCTCAGAAGGGAGGATTTTATTTGCAAACTTAAATCTCACTTTCAGACACACCAGACTTTTGAGTCAGTCTTCTTGCTACTTGTTTGTTTGCTGACTTACATTATGAGAGGACCTGTCAGCTGCTAAAAATGATGCAATCTGGATTAAATGTGAGTGGTACAAACATTTGTGCACCAACATGACTCCCTCATGTGGGATAAATCAGAAATATCTTTGTAACAGAGCAAAATCAAATAATCTTTGTGCCTGTGCATTTTGCTGTGAGTTGAATGTAGTATTTTCTACTGAATTTTCCTTATTTTAACTTTTTTTCATGCAGCATCATATATATGCTGGAATGTGAGAGGTAGCTTAAAGATCCTGACATCTTGGCATGCTCAGGGTTACTTTCCATTGCATTCTTTCTACACTGAGTGAAAGAATGAGAACGTTTTGGTGAGCTCTCTTTTAATTGTTGTCACCCATTCTCTTGGTGCTTTGTGCATTTTGTTAATAGAAGAATGTGTGCAACCTGCAGTTTGAATCCTGTCCTCAGTCAGGAAATCACTGCATCCACCTTGTCTTTACTGGGATGAACATTTTCCATGGATGTCTAGGCCAGCATCTGTGTGTTTGGAGCTGACCCCAAGCTTTCTGTCCTAGTGTGGATCCTTCTGCCCCTGATGGTCTCTGCACTGGCTTGGTCTAACATCAGTGCTCGCAGAACCTGGATGAGATGCGTGGCACAAACAGGCTGTCAGGAGCCTTGGGCTTCAACACAGTTTTCACTGAGGCATTTATATCTTCCCCCAGATGTAAATGAATGTGTGACAAATACACACAGGTGCAACCTCCATGCAGAGTGCCTCAACACCCAGGGATCCTTCCAGTGCAAATGCAAGCAGGGCTACCGAGGAAGTGGATTTGACTGTGCTGGTGAGTACCACTGGATGGCAGCAATACTGCTGTGCTGTTTTTCTCCAATAATTGATCATTACAAGGCATGTTCTGAGAAAAGTCATGCTGAACAGTGCTGCAATACCAACAAAGCAAGACCTCTCCTCAAAATAATATATTAACTGCATGATTCATAGCATAGTCAATACAAGTATCCCTTGTTCAAATTAATTTTGCCTGTAAGTCTTCAAGTCTCATCTCTAGGAATTGCAAGTAGAACAGAGAAATTAATTTGTCTTGAAGAAACAGAGAAAATAGTTTAAAAAAATATACAGTGATTTCTCAATGAATTCCCAAGGTTAGCTCCTTGGAGGGATACTCAGTCTCTCCCAGAAGGCTAACTTAACAAAAAATGAGAAAAGAGAGAAAAGCTATGACATCTCTGTTAAATTGTTTTCACTTTGTTTGTCTATTGAATATGGAAGACATCATATAAAGATGTCATTTCCCACTTTAACTGAATATGACCTTTCAAAAAGAAAGAAAGAAAGGCTGTCCTTGTCTTTATATTTAAAATGAACCTTTTAATTTATACCTTTATTAATCCTGGCAGATGTTTCTCCTGCAACATCATTAAAGATGTTTTCCTCAAGAGGACACTTGACCTCTGCTCAAACATTAAAAAAGTTTTTGTCTGTAGCAGATGAAGTCTACATAATATATAGTAATGGTTGATCAGCTATGTCTTATGACTATACTTCATGGTCACAGATGTTTTCTGAGTCCCTCTCTTGTTCATGTTCCTACTCTCATTGTGGTAGCAATTGAAACTTACAATACACATTGATAAATTAATATTTTCACAGAATATTTTGAATTGCAAGGGACCCATGCGTCCAACTCCTGGCCCTGCACAGGAGAGCACCATTTTGTTAAGTTTCAACTTTCAGTATAGAAATGTTGACTTTTTACATGCAAAATGATGCAAAAGTACACAAAAATCTGACTGATACTGAATGGTTTGATACGGACATAGTTTACCACAGCAGAGATGTTTAGAGCATTCTTCTACTCAAATTCAATTTATGAGCCAGGTTTCTTGCTAGAACACATGCCTTGTGATATGTCACTGCAGCTCACTGAAATGGAAGGATGCATTTGACTAGATACCAAAGCAGGCTGACATGACACATCTTGGCATGGTTTTGTTAAAACAAAATGTACCAGAGGTGAAATGTTAAACAAATATATGTCTGAGAAATATAACCTGTTGGTTTTGGTTGTTTTGTTTTTTTTTTTTTTCATTTATTTGCATTTTTTAAATGAGATGGTAAAAATTCCAGGGAAATGTTCTTTGTGACTTTATAAGTAGAATATATATTCTACATATAAAATACTTTATTGTCAAGCAAAAACAATTCAACAAGAATGATTGCTTAAATATAAATAGCAAAATTTTTTTCACTTATGAAGAGAGTTTTTTTGAGGTCTAGCCCTGTAAAAAATCAGTTCTGAATTCCAATGATTCCTATCTTCTCGCAGGTGTTTTTCTCACATAGTTTGCCCTCTGCCTACTTCCTCCTGTCATATTTCCAATTATTGAAATCCATTTGTTGTTTAGCAGAGGAAGGATCCACGACTCATAAAGTGAATAGAACATACTAAATGGAAAAGAGATTTATTACAAGAGAGAATAGAAGAATAACATAGAGAGCAATCAGAGCCACAGGCAGGTCAAAAGTTGAAGGTCCAGCTAGAAGGTTGCAAACAACAATAGAGGAAGATTAAAATACAATCAGCTATAGGTGAACCCTGAAACGGAGAGATGCTAAATAGAGACTGGTTTCTCTGGTGGTAATTCTCTCACATATGTCTTCTCTTTAAGAGGGAAGTGGAGGAGATTCTTTTAGCCCTGAATGTTTCAATAGTTGACTTTTACTGCAATCCTCAAGAACATCTGACCAGTGTGACTCATGGGGGCAGGATGTGTCTTGCTACTGGGGAAAATGTTTTTTTAAAATAGTGACGCAAACAATTGGATGTACCAGCCAACAGTAAATACTGAGTGTTCTCCATGTCATGTGGCAATTGTGGAAAAGCTTTGCCTTTACTGCAGCCAAAAGAAAATTTGCTATGGGGTTTAATGGGATGAGGACACCATCTTGGGCATTTAGGAGCTGAGGCTGTGGCTTCACACTTATTTTGGTGACAATGGCTACAGTTCCTGTGGCCCAGTTCCCAGCAGGGCTTGTGCTGCAGTTAAGCAAAAACCCCCTTAAATAAGCCTCCAGTACTCCACATAATTATTCCCACAGAGATGGAATCCTGTTTTCACAGGGAAGCATTAGTTCTTAATAGCAATTGTCTCTAGTATAAAAAAACCCAACCTGGCTACCATGGAAGCAGTATTTGCTTTTTTCAAAAAATGAAAACTATATATTTAATATATAACTTAATTTTTGGATTATGAGAGGAGACCAATTAAGCACATTGCTTATAATGAAATTCCTGTGGCTACATCTCATGCTATCAAATAACTTTATAAGTGATATAATATATAATTCACCTTTGCAAAGAGGGTGGTGGAAATTCTTTCATTCAGTTTGTGTGTCAATACAGTGACTTGGAGAAAGCTGCTGAAATGTCAGGCTGCAAACACTACTGCTGGTATGGATATGACGTAATTATTAAGGCACCCTTTTGCCATTTAACACTCCTGTATCTATGAAATATTGGAGACCATTTCTGAACTGTCTGTAGCACATGTTTGAGAATCCATAGAGATGGATAGATTTGAACAATCTCTAAAAGGGTCCTAGTCATTTCCATCTGGCCCCTATCTTGCTGCAATTTGTTGTTGTTCTCAGGTTCATGTGTTTCCTGATTTCCTATTGTGCGTTGAAAACCCACATTTCCCCTGCCACGTGTTTTTATGTGTATTCAGCTTTTATTTAAGAATAGAGTCTCACAAGGTTCCATTAGCAATTAAGATTCCTGGGGGGAAAAAACCCCTATTTTTGATTAACTTTTTTTGGTCCTACAAAATAACAGGAAAAAGGATTACTATCTTTAAGTCTACAGGTACCACTCTAATGAGCTCAACAATGACACTCCTGTTATTGCCCAGCTAGAGGCAGAGGTTACTTTTCTTCATTATGCTTTGCTGGGTATCTAAGTGTCGATAAAAATTCATGTTGGCTCTCTCTCTGCCTCTTGTATTACTCATTCAATTTTTGCTGATAGGGTAACCCTTAGACCCTATATATAATTTTGCTTTCTTTTTAACTTGCCAATCCTGAGAAAGGCTGGTTTGACATAATAAAGTTTCAAAGCTTTTATGATTGTCATTTTTCTGGTCATATTCTTAAAATTTAATTCAGTATGGAGTCAAATACTGCTGTCACTCTTCAGTGAGTAACACTTGGGCTTTTGTCACCACACATTTCCTACTAGATGCCTTGCTGGCTGGTGTAGTCATGTATTAAGCACAGTCCAGTGTAACAAACTTGCCCTGATTTCTCAAAGTATCCTTCCCTAAATAAGACAGTAAATATTTTAGAAATTATATAGGGTAGCATCACATATTGGTAGATGATGTTCCATGGTGCTTAGAAGAAAATAATAGCCCATAATCTGTCTTTTAACCTATCTGTGAAAGCTTTCCAACTCTCTTAAGAATATCTAAAAGAAGTTGATCACTTTTAGAATGATTTCTGAAAATATGTCACACTCATCTAATCTTTACTCACATCTACAGACTCCACCTACACGTGGTAGATTGTTGTCTGTCTCCCTCAACACCTCTTCAACTCTTATACAGAGAAGCTATAAAGGGAGCTAAGAAAGGGTTTGTAAGCCAGTCTCCCAGGCTTGTCTCTCACCAGGCTTTTAAATGCTCTGAGGTGTTGGGGTGGAAGCAGTGGGGTGCCTGCTGGAGTGCAGAGCAAGCTGTCTCCCACTGCACGCCCTGGATGGTCAGGGCCAGCAGCAGCTGCAGTCACAGGGCTGTGGAAGGAAGACAGAGCCTTGTCTGTCCCTCTCCTGTATCATCCCCTGAGTGCTTCCCTTTGCACAATGCAGCACAGTGTGTTGGCATATATTCTTTTTTTTTCAACACAACTTTCACAACTTGGTCATTAGACATCCTACACCAATCCATTTCTGCAGGTTTATAGTTTTGTAAAATTTCTGTGAGTTTTTCTGATGACAGAAAAGTTTTAGCCCTCAGCCACTGTTTGCTTTTGTTTTTCCTACTTTCCTTAATGATCTCTAATTCAAAGAAAGAAAATACCTTTGAAAACTGAGATATTTTCATATTAGGGCAATAAACAGAAATTGCATGCTTCCTGATCAAAGGTAAGTGGGAAAGAGCTGAACTGATGTGAAATGCTCAAAAATACAAAAAATACATTTCCTTGCACTTTTTCCAAAATTCTCCGCAGTCACATAGACAGATAAGTGCACAAAGATGTTTGTGACCAACATCTCAGTATTTATCTACATATTTTGAGGCAAAGAGTCCTGAAAAATCACTGCCTCAGGTGTAGCACCTCAGAGCACCAGAGAAGATGAGCTGCTCATTCAGGCACATCCACAGCCATGGATTCAAAGGAACAGACTGAGTTTAAGGTGGTGTGTTGATTGGTGTATCATTACATTGCATTAATCCTCCTGCAATTTATGGCTAGATATAAAAAGCCTCAAATCTACACCTCTGGCTACTCTAAAGATGATGCAATTTGGAAGGAGACTAGTGCTGTGTCCTAAAATAATGTTTAGTGTCTAGAGTCTCTGTCTCCACAAGCATGGAGATTTTCATAGTGCAGCAGCAAATTGGAATCTGCAGGCACAAGGGAATTTATACTTTTCATCCCCCTATTTTTGTCATTCCTGTCAGTTGATTTTCCACTCTGGTAAATTTTGCACACACAAGGAGATTGGTTTTCTGACACCACAGAGGGTATTATGTTGAACTGTAAGAATTTTCCATTTCATGAGAAAACTTCAAAGCAGAAACTAAAAGCAGATGTTCAGGTTTGGTGAGCAGTCAGTCCTGTAGCCTTGAAAATCCCCATAGCCTCTCTGTTAAAAGTTTCTTGTTACTGACAATCAAGAGGAAATTTGTTTGGAATTAAGCTTTCCTGTTAATTTTTATTGCTGAATTCTGAGTTTAGACCTAGGGAACCTTACATCCTTCATGGCATCATCCTCCAGAGGATACTTACTGGAGTATTAGTAAAGAGCTTATCTGCAAGTATTTGACAAGCAAGCCTGTAAGTTTTATCCAAAAGAAGGAAGAACAAATCCTCAAGTTTGACTTTGATATTATTGGCATATGTTTACTTCAACAGCAATCTCAAAAACACCTAAATGCTACAGTGAGCACACCAAGAATCTGACTCTTTCCTGACATACTAAATAGCATGTAGCTGCACTTGCCTTAAATAAAATGTGACAAATTCCCAGTGATAGGATTGTATTTTCCAGAAGTGCATGTAAATTCAGGGAACCTTCCTCTTTTCCTACTAGACTGCAGTTCTATTTTATTTACTGGTGTTTTTCTTCTGCTGTGTCTCCATGAAAAGAGGCACAGAGAAAATAGTGTGCCTCTTTTCATGGAGGCAGACTACCCAAGATACCGAGTCCAGTCTATCTGTCTCAAAGTACTACTATAAAATTTTCATAAATATATAGTGAGGAGCAAAATAGGAATGTATTCTTGCCCTGATAATATAATCATTAGAGGGAAATAAAAATAGCTGTCTTCCACCATCATTTTTAATCCTAAAAGACTGTAGGCACTGCAGCATCAATACTGATTGAGAATCAAAGGTGGGAAGCACTATTCTGATCCACTGATGAAAATAGTTTCTCTTTATGAAAGAGCTTTTTTATAGCACACTGGAACTGCTCAGCTGTCATTGTTTTCTAGGTAGTTCACATAAAGACTCAAACTGTCAGTCCTTTATGACATGGTTGTGCACAACATTTGATAGTAGTATCCAAAAGGATAATTCCAGAATAATTAAAATAACACCACTTTATCCAAAACTATAAGATAAAATATTTCACATCCAAAAGGAGTCATAAAATGGTAAATTCTCAGCAAATGCTACATTTATGTTCTAGGGATTGCAATGTGGTAAAAATTTGGTACTTTTGTATTCTCTGAACTTTGGTGTTTACCCCTTACATTAAATAAGAGCTAAAAGAAATATGATGGAGGAGCTTGATGTATGTCTTCTCAAAATATCCTAATTTCAGTAGCTTTCAGTCTGCCATGGAAGGAAAATTAGACCAGAGAAGTTCACAAAAGACAGGCAAGAGAAATGCTCATTATTATTAGGCTGCAGTTGCTGTGGAGGGGATCCCATCTTCATGAACAATTTTAGTCCAAAAATTGAAGAAGGATTTTTGGGTCTTTTTGCCCGAGCTCCAGTGTAAAAGTAATTTAAGTAAGGGGCTCTATGGCCTGTGTTACTCCTTTGTTACACAGACCAAAGAGATCATTACTGAGGGTTGCTTTGGTCTTTTCACTGTAACTGACAGCTGTCAGTAGTGCAGAGCTGAACATGTGCACGTGTTCAGTTCTGTGCAGAACTGAACTTACATCTCATAGTAGAGAATTTAATTCTGAGGCTCTCTGGACCTTGTAAAGGACACCACAGCCCCATTTAAAAACATTGTCATTGCTGGATGATTCCTTAGATGAATATTTTCTATTTTCTTCTTGGTTCTAGTTATCCCTGAAAAGTCAGTGAAGGAAATTGCAAGAAGCCCTGGAACAGCTAAGGACACAATTAAGAAACTTCTTGCACAAAAACACAGTGTGAAAAAGCATGAAACAATCGAGAATGCAATCCCAGAAGCAGCTGTGACCCCACCTTCTGAGACCCACTTGCAGTTGCTGGACTATGAAGGTGCTGTTGATCTTGGTGGGAGCTACAGTGAGGAAGAGAAAGAAATTGCAGCTGCTGCAGAAGAGGAGGCTGAAGAGTCAGATGAAGAGGAGAAGGAAGATTTTGAAAATCAAATTGATGAGCGAAGCCTGAGAGGGGATGTCTTTTGTAAGTTTTTTTTTTTAAAACGTCTGGCTTCAATGTAAATATGTCTAAACACCAAAAAATCATCACAAAACATTGCAGGCACTTTATCAGAATTTACTTGTAGAAAATGAATCATAGAGTCATAGGATGGTTAGGTTCTAGTTAATGCTTTTGAAAATACATTTGAAGACTTTGAAAAACACAGCAAGAAGTTGTACAGCATATTAGAATTAGATGATTTTTAAGGTCCCATCCAACCCAAGCAATTCTATTATTATAACTGGTTTTTAATACAATTGTCTCAGTCAAACATTCTTCAAGGTAGTGACAAAAACAATTACAATGAAGAATACACACTGTCAATATTTCATTCATTACATTTGCTCTTTCCAAAATATAGAAAAATAATAAATACTATCCCACAGCCATTAAAATTGTAATAATAAAAATGAGAAAATAAAATAAACATTCACTTTATTGATATTTAACCTGGAAGGAGAGATAAGTACATATTTTTTTAAAGGAAGGATAATTTGCAAGTCCTCACATCTGGCCTGGCCAGAATTTTCCCTTATAGATCTCAGAGATTAAAATGCTGAATTTGTTAGAGATTTTTATTTTGCTAGGGGATTCTAGCAGAAAGTTGGTGTGCTGCTTCATGCAGAGATAGCAGCATGCCCAAGATGTAGTTTCATTAAGTTTGTGAACTCTGTATCATCTGTGGCTTTCTTGTTTGACACCAACTGTGATTCAAGACTTAAAGCATTGTATCATTTCAGGATACATTGCTTAAGTGTGTTTTCCTTCCTTTTAAATTTCCATGTGCTGTACTTCATCCTTGTTATCATAAAAATTCAGTCATGATTCAGGCACTTAATTGCTTTAACATTTGGCTTTAAAAACACTTTCAATTTTAATGATATTGAGTGATCCTTCAGAGAAGATCATTAGCTCAAATTTACAGCTCATAAATTTGTACATTTTTTCCTTTCTTTGCTGATGTCTATTCAGCAGATTCCTTCATGACAACATTAAATTCCTCCATATAATCCCCTCGAGTATTCACATAGCATCTGCCTTTTGTATTATTAATATTGGTATTGTTTGTCTTCCAGGAAGAGTAGTTAATTAGAAAAAATAGAAAAGTCTCTTTAAATTGATTTATTATTTTATCATAGTAGTTATACTACATGATAAATACATAGGGAGCCATATAAAAATATTGTGAAAAAAAAGGGAAATATATCAACATGGAAATTATTCAAATAGGCCCAACTACCAAAATAGTGGAATTTCGTGAGAATTAGTATTTACCAATTTTTTTTAAAAACCCACACAATAGTTAAAGACAGCAAAGTGAAGACCACAACATGTGAGAAATGTCAAAATTAAGGTGATCAATGAAAACTTAGATTTTTTTTTCTTATATTTTTGTATCTTATGATACAGTCTGAAATTACTTCAAATTACTATTTTCCATGGGATTCTTGCCTTGTCCAGGGTGAAGAAAGAACCTGTCCTGTTGTGAAAGGTGCAGTTTAATAAATAAGAGTATTTATTTATTGATAGACTAATTATTTATTGATGTGAATATTCATCATTAATTATTTATTCATTATTATCAAATACTTAATCATAAAAATGAGAGTAGACATAATATTGGAAAGCTGTTTATTACATGAGAAGTGCCCTTTCTGCATATGGGAGAAGACACAGAGAGCTGGGCCAAGTACTTGGTTATATAAGCAAGGATTGCAGAGATGATACACTCAAGCTCCACTGAAATAATTAAGCACAACCTTAATTCTGACAGTTTCTAACATTTTATTGCTTTTTGGCTGTCATTGGTAATTCAGAATGATATTGCCAACTGCAACTAAATTCTATATTCTGTACTTCATCAGTTTATGAAATTCACATCATGCTTAGAGCTCCTGTAGTGTCATGTATCCAGCCATTTATTACACAGAGACACTTCCTTTGGTAGCATCAAGAATGATAAAGAGGGATTAGTATTTGGCAATACTAAAAGTGGACTGTTTCCCTTATGGCTTCACAGATCTTGATGCTGAATAAGAGAATTCCCTCAGTTAATCATGATGTTTGCTCTCATTCTTTTCTGGTAATTACACCACTCTGTGAGCTATTAATGCTCAGACCACAGCTTAGTTCATAGCTATATATGTCAGATTTGCAGCAAATGTAATTCTTTCAGAGCAGGGTGTGGTAGCAGAGAAATAGGATATTCTTGTGAGTCCAGCCTAGTGGTACACCATATATATATAGGAAGCTCATCTTAAATTTACTACATCTTTTATTCTGCTTGATTTTTTTTCATAGTGCCCACTCTGTTTCTCTGGGTTTTGATGTTTTTAATGGGTTTGATAACATCAGTGGTTAAGAACAAGTGTCACCATGATATGAAGGGGTTTGTATGTAGAGATTACATATCAGCTGTTGCTGTGTATAAGTTGATGTGAGGGCATCTGCAGCACAGAAAGAAGGATGACTCTGCTGCGCCTAGTGTGGGACATATGTGTGCTTTGTTGGTGAGATCTTGTTCTTAGGGACCATGAGAGGAGACCTGCCTTTCTACAAGACCACTTGATAGCAGAAGAGATAGAAAGATTAATTATGACTCCTGCCTATTACTTATGAGGGAGTAAACTTTGGATCCTGGCTGTGCATGAGGATGATCTGATTAAAATATCCGCACTTTCTAAGCAGTAAGGTTTATTTGAAACCTTTCTGTAAGCTGAAGCTTGCAGTTTCTCATAATATGCAGCTGATATCTTTCAGCGAGTGCAAAGCCTGATTGTAATGCCTGACTGAAAGCAAAAATAGATTTGGAAACAAAACTGGACTCTTTTTCTATCCATAACAGTTCTTCGCTTCATAGCACATAGCTACACCTGCACGTATCTCTCTCAAGTGAATTCAAGTGTAATTCAATAACTTAACAAATAAATCATTCTGGCAGCTGTTGTCCTCTGTTAAATCACTCCACTCTTTCCAGAACTGATCATGTTTTAATAGCTGTCTTCATTTTGGCAAAGGTTTTCACAGCCTGAGCCTCTTTCACCAAGTACAAGGCCAAGTTTATGGCTTGAGAGTAAACTTAACACCAATCTGGATGCCCCTACTCCTAAATGTGTATATGTAAACAAAAATTAATTTGGAGAAATATGTATATTAATCCTCGCCTAAGTATGAATATTATCCAGGTGATCTAAGCAATGGACTGGGTTAGGGGAAGCTGCAAGGACAACAAGAGATGACACGCTCCTGGCAATTCATCAGAAAGCTCATAAGATTGCATAAATCTTCTCCAATTCAGCACTTCTGGAAGTGCCTCTGGGCCTCTTTGTTAGTGTGTGTTGTCACTGGTGTACATAGAGCAATTTTTGACAGTTTTGAAGAAGAAAAAAGGTGAAGTGGATGGCATAGTCTTTATGGTGCTAGGAGGCTCTGGATTGCAGTCACTTCTGAGTATATTCTCAAAACTGAGTATGTGAGAGCATATTGGAGTATTTAAATGGAAAGCTCTGTCAAACTCATGGGAAACAAACCTCCCCTCTGAACAAATGTGCATCCATGTGAAAATAATGACTTTTAAAATATTTGGCATATGCATGTATGATGCAATGCTAAGTAGGGAAAAGTAATTTTCATAGCTTTTCTTAGCACAGCTGCCCACGGGATGGGGCTGAAAAATGAACTTCAGTTGTTTCAGGCTTTCCCCTAATACATTCTGTAAGCAGTAATCCAAAGGCTTCTCCCTCGCTCCTCTAAAATGGCACTTTAAACTCCTCCTGTTTTCGTAGGTGGTCATGAATATATCACAGGTACCACCTGCTTATGTATTTGCAAATGATAGAATACCAGTGAAAGCAGGTCTTTCCCTTATCTCATGTGTGATTAGTTACTTACACAGGGTATGCATAAAGAAGTTGAGATTTATGTTTGTTTTTTTAGTGAATACACTTATCTATCAATCACTTAAAATAAAACAAACTTAATCATAGAATTTTAAAAGACTTATAGTAATCTAGAAATTACTTAGTGTAAACAAGAATATGGAATCTTCTGTCTCACCAGACAGGAGAGAATTTCCCTTGGTCTTTGAGGCTGAGAAATAATGCCTCTTTCAGGCCAGTGTCTTAGAGAACCCCCCTAACATTCTTTTGTGCTGCTTTACCAATTCTTCCATTCAGCACCAGCTATCACTGCCCTGACTGCAGATCTGTGGGCCTTTGATGCCCTAACTTTTACAAAGTCTCTGACATTATCCATTTTTTGAGGCTGCTGTTGGCAAACTGCTGCCAAGTCACTGTCACTGTTGTCTGGCAGAGATCAGTTTCATTTGATCATTATCGCAAGAAAGCAGATCAGGCTTCTGAGGAAAGATCACCATTTTATGACCTTGTGAATTTGTAATTTAATGTAGCTGTAGCTCCAGTGCTTATGGGTTAGAAAGCTCAGTGTTGTGGAAAACAGCAATTTAAACAATTATTTTTAAATTCAGAGTATCTAATTGCTGTTAGGAATATGGGTTTGGTGGTAGAGTGGAAAATACATATGATGACTTTTTTAAATAAATTATGTCAGCTGGTGTAAAGGAATAAAGTTCCATTTTCTGTTCCTGTGATGACTCAGTACTTGACAAGTTGTTTTCCCTAGCTCCCAAGGTAAAAGAAGCAGCTGCCTTTGGCCCTCACCTGGCACAGAGGAAAATTCCAGTGTCGAGACCAGAGCAAGAAGGTGGCTTACTTTTATCATACAGTATTTATTTTCCTGTGTATTCTATCTTTTTGTGACAACCTGTGTTAGCCAAGTCAGAACTGGTTTAAAAGCCTTTAACATAAACCAAAGATTTTGTGAGCATGTTAGAGACAGTATCTGGCCAAACTATGCTACCAGTTCCAACGTGTCCTTTTCCAAGCATATTTTACTGTTTATAACCCATGCATAGAAAGTTTCCCCACATAAGAACTTGACTTGCAATTGAATTTCACTTGAATAATTTCACAGTCATGAAAAAATAAAGTAGCTTCTATTGTCTATAAAATGAAAACATGTTGCATAGCACACAATAATCTTAAACAAGCAAAATAGACAGATGTGCTGGTTGACTTTTTTTACAATTTAGAAAGCAGTAGTCTCAGATACAATGGATTTAGACAACAAAGCTCTTTAAATGCCACGTACTGCATGTCTCTGTCTCATGATGAAATACATTAAAATAACAAGAAGAATACTTCTTTCTGAGGAAATTCAGAGGCTGATGCATTACTCTTAATCTGATCTGTCAGGCTTGCATTGCACAGTGTCCCTTTGTGTGTGTGATGCTTTTCATCTGCACAGTCATGAAGGCTGTGGTGTGCTCTGGCTGATGCCCTTTTCAGGGTGCTCTAAAGGTCAACTGATCTGGGCTATTCCCAGCTCCATGTAGTTGGATTATCAGGTGCTGATGTAAGGGATTCTTCTCACGGGAGGCCAGTTTCTCTCAAAGGATAGAACTGGAACTTGAGCTGATTGCAACTACAGTAGTGTAACAAATGGAGAATGGAGAGCTCTAAAGCTGGCAGACCTCAAACAATTCCTGATGCTCAAGTTCAACACTAACAGCTCCACCTATACTTGGGGATTTGCAGGCCATTGATAAACAGAAGTCACAGCATATAAACTCATGTGGGTAAAAAGACACTGAGGTAAAGAAATAATTACTACATAATATTTTGATTTTTTGCAGTTGGCATCTCGGTTAACACTATCTGAATTCAGATTATAATTTTAGAATGATCTGTACATTAATAACTGTATGAATAAAGAACACAGTCTTTTAACAGTACTTAGGATATGCTTCTAAATGCTCCTGTTATCTCTGCCAATTTTCTTTTCAGTTGATTGCAGCTTCAGTCGAGGAGTTTGTGACTGGAAACAAGATGCTTATGATGACTTTGACTGGAATCCTGCTGATCGAGATAGAGGTATTCAGATATCTGCCACCTAGATAGGCTTTGATTTGATGGACTACCCCCTCCAAAAAAAAGGGGGAAGGGGAAACTGAATCCAGGATTTTTCTTTTCTATCAGTGGGTTATCTTTATAATAGAAGAAAAGAGGCAGAGGATGATAGGAGTGGATATTGTTTCTTTGAAATGTCCAATAGAAAATATTAATCAGCAATATATTTCAAGAAAAATAAATCAAAATGTAAGAAAAATTATTAGAACATAACTGTTCAGAATTGCAAACAACAAGGCAATGGAAACCTTATTAACTGCTTGTTGTGTCTCTCCAAGATTGGTAGGACATTTAATCACACATCTGTCATTTAGATGGATGTGGCAATGTAGTCACCCACGTGCCTTAAATATCACTGAGATAGCTGCTCAGAAATCTCAAACTCTGCAAGACAAACTCAGAATAAGCCAAGGGCAAGGGGCCTATTGAAGAACAACGAATACATGAATAGGTACAAATGCTGAAACCTGAGAAAGAGCTCCCTGAGAGCAATGTGGGACTGCTGAGTGGGTGCACATGAAAAGGTGGGGCTGGACGAGTTTGTTTGAAAGTATCTCTCTTTCCCTGTGACACAGAAATGTTGCAGAAGTTGCTGCAGTAGTGACCAGTGGGTCCTACAGATCCTGAAGGCTGCTTACAATTACCACACACACATTCTCTTCCTCTTCTTTAAGAACCTTTCCATGTTAGTCTTCACTAATCCTTCCTCTCCTGCTCCACATAATTCCCTAAATCCCTTCTCTGTGCTGTCACTTCCAGGAAAACCTTACCCTGGCCTTATCCTGTCTCCCTGAACTTACATATGCTGACTGTGACTTCATTTATGGCCCCAGATGTTTTATTCCTTTTTGCGTGTCAGTCACTTCATTGGTCTTCCAGGACTTGGGAAATAAGCTGTCAGTTCCCTTGTGAATTCGTCATTAATGCAGAGGACAGTGGAGAGAATATTGAGCTAGCTCAAGTACTGAAATAATGTGATCACAGAGGCACAGCAGCCTGTTTCAGACTTGCATTTGGAAAACAGATGGTTTTGCCTTCAAAAGATAGTGCAAGGAAGAATGACTGTAATTGCCAGTGAAATATGAACTCATCTCCTCTGTAAACTGATCTGACTTCCAACCCTACAAGTTTATTCCTCACTAAGTACACTTCCTGCTGCTTTTTTCCAATGTGATTTTAAATTATTCAAGTAAACTACTTTCAGCTTCCCCTTATTTTCTTAGCAAATGTATTCAAATTGCTAATAAATAACACAAGTGCATTAAATTTTTAAAAAATTATTTTCTTTTTACAAGGTGATGGCTACTACATGGCAGTTCCAGCCTTTGTGGGGCACAAGAATGATATGGGGCGTTTAAAACTTCTCCTCACTGACCTCAAACCAAAGAGCAGCTACTGCCTGATTTTCAGTTATCGGCTTGCTGGTGAGAAAGTGGGAAAGCTAAGAGTGTTCCTGGCAAACAAAAAAACTGCTCCTGTCTGGGAAGAGAACAAAGGAAAAGATGAAAAGTGGAGAACTGGAAAAATAGAGATATTTCAGGGGGCTGAAACAACCAACAGTGTAAGTATAACACGGTTTATTAGCCAATTACCATAACCAACATGCTGGTTTGATTTCTTAATTCTCAAGTGTTCCACTAAATGTTTTATAGGCATCAGCAACCAAAAGGCTTATCTGAAATGGGAAACAGGAGCCCGTATTTTAGGGGGCATTAAAGTTATCACCTGATTGTAATTTCAGAACTGAATCATCCTAATTGGTTAGAATACTGATGCCAGTAATTCTGTCATTTTGTAAAAATACTGCATAACATAATAAATTAACAAAAGTAATCAAAATCTGCCCTTAATATCTCACACAACAGAAGCCTACATATGTGCCTAGAAAAATGAAAATTTTTCATTTCATAGACGAGGTTGCTCTCAAACCACACTAAACCAGACCATTCTAGCAAAAGGAGACATCATGTACAATCAAAGGGGGCCCATCACCATGGGAGTAGGGAGTACCAACAGGGAACACTGTGCACTGATGTATGCCAGAAACTGCCTCTAACAGGACTTCAGCCAGTTCCTCCTCGAAATTCTGGGGCCTGTTTTCCATTTGTGTGATGGAACATTTTCAGTGCTGTGTAAAGGCTTCTACTGTATAATTGAATATAGTGAATGTAAAGGAAATGCAAGCCCTTTTCAAGGTCCTTTGCACAGCTGGAATGATGCAGAAAAGCCCTTAAATAAATCAGAATCAGAATATAAAATAAAAAACCCAGACATCCTATTCATAAGAACAACCCTCTTCTTTATATATAGTATACATACTATACTCAGTACATACAAGAGTGTGTAAATATATATAGAATATGCACACAAAACCTGAGGATCCAAATAGATCAAAAATGAGCAATTGTAATGTCTTGAATAAATGAAAAGCATGAACATCACATGCTGTGATAAAACCGCATTATTATAAGAGGATTTCACTCAATTTGCATTTTTTTACAATAAAAGTAAATAATCTTATTAAAGTAACCCATCTGGTATTGCAAATCTGTGCAGAGGATTTTAATCTAGTTCAAATAATGCACAAAAGCTTTAAAAATGGCAAAGATTCAAGTAATTAAGTCCTGTGTTGTAATAAAATATTCTTTATTTATAGCATTGTAACTAATTAGGAGTTGCTAAATGGTTGAATAAACTACATTTTCACCCTTAATACATATCTTTTCTTATGACAGGTCACTTTTGAATCAGAACGTGGGAAGGGTAAAACTGGAGAAATTGGAGTGGACAATGTTATACTAATTTCTGGTCCATGCCCAGAAGATGCCTGATAATGGACATTGAAGTATACCAGATTTAATCCTATTTTTTACACTTTATGAGTAGTGTATTTTTTGTATTCTTTTTTTAATTATAAAAACAAAACCAAAACAAACCTATAAAATTGTGCCTTGAATCTAATGCAACAATGCCAACAGAAAAACTGATGTTCAAGATGCAGAATACACTTTTTTGTGAATTCTTTTAATTTTGATACATGCATTGAATACTACTGTATTTTATAATTCAAGGTCAGGGTTTCTGAAGTATTATTTGTTAAGCATTTTTACAATTCTACGTGCTTTTTTTTCTTCAAAGTCTTCTTGAGGCTATTCATTACTCTTCTGTTTCATTTTATCTACTCCATAAGAACATAAAGCAGTTTTTAAGAGAATGTTACTATTTCTGTTGACATAATTAACTTCTTAGTGGGTATGCTGTTCTAAAAATCAGTATGCATCACCCTGTGTGCAGTAAGACAATCACACACAGTGCCAAGGTGTTTGTTTATTTAAATACTTGTGCAAAGATGAGTGCTAGGTAAATCCACAAAGTCAGGACACCAAGCAGAAATGATGACCACTATTTATATATTGTTAATCTTGACATATTCCACTTATCTAGTATATATTCAGTGTTTAATACTCCACTGTTGCTGAGCTGGCTTCTTATCCTGGGCAGCCTGGTGGTTTTTACTACTGTGGTTACTATTATAAGTGTTTACTATTGTATTATTGCTGAGATGTGCTGAGCTGGCTTTGTTTTCTTCTTATCTTGGGTGTCCTGCAGTAGCACACCCTTCCTCCCAAATTCTGTTACCCCTCTGAGTCTGGACGAGTTTGTTTGAAAGGATCTCTCTTTCCCTGTGACACAGAAATGTTGCAGAAGTTGCTGCAGTAGTGACCAATGGGTCCTACAGATCCTGCAGGCTGCTTATACCAGTTCCCAGTGATCTTTGAGACAAGTCAAGCCCTAAACTTTACTAAAGTAATTCTATTGACAAATAATTTATATTAGGCCTGAGGTAAATATTCAATCTATCGAACAACTAGGAAGAAAGTGAAGACCTTCTTTTCCTTTCTGATGGAGCTAAGAAAGGTGTAAGCGGATTCATGTCTTTGAGGAATATTTTCATTACTAATAAAGTATGTAAAATACCTTGATTGTCATCAATGTCTTTGAGTCACACAAATCAGTGATAAGAAATGATCCCTTTATAGTTTTATAAGCATTTAATGTTCACCATTAGCAGATGATGTTACCAACTGGCAAGGAAATACAAGAGCAAAAAGAATGACCCATTATTAATGTTTAAGGAGCTTCACATTATGTACTGAACAAAAGGCTCCTGCTGGACTGCAGGCCTACTTTACCCCATTAGAGGTGAGAAAGAATGATTTTCATTGTCCAGGAGACAGTATGACCTAGTGGCCACATACTAAGTCTCCTCTTACACAACTGAAAAAAATAATCTTTGTTGTGAGTTCCTTCATGACTCTTTAAACATCAACAAAAAGGGTGGGGATTATCCACCACCCCCAGGAGCAGGAAGGTGAGCAGAACTTTCTCCCACAGAGCAGGAGCTGCCACCCACTGCCATGCTTGTCCATGCTCACAAGTGCATGTCAATGTACACATACACATTTGAGGGACCAGAGTCCAGGTTACATTTTTTCTGAAAGGAAGTCAAATGACAACACTGTGAAAGATAAGAACATTATTTTTGTCTTGTGATCTCTGTGGAATCCAGTACCTAACAGTCTGGATTCTAAGAGAACAGAGAAGCCCATGGAAAAGCCCTGGTTCAGGCAATATTCAGTTAAATACATGTGCATACATTTTCCTCTTATTTCTGTGTATCCCCTTCCAGGCCGGCTGCTCATTATTTATTATTAGTGACCCTATTATTTCAGTTTTTGTATGAAGAAGGGCACATCCAAAATGACTGAATAGAATTTTGTGCTCTAACACCGAAGAATTTTGAAGAATTCAGCCTTTATGAACCTAAACTTTTTAACAAAAAAACACCAGTTGAAATACCTTGAATTACACACATGAAGCAAGAAATGCTTGAGATATTTCTTGTTGAAATACAGTATTTTTGTGCTGTGCACACAGGTGAGGAAAGGGTAGGCAGAAGTGAAATATCTGGAAAGTTTACAATGGCTATGCAACCAGGAAATGCAGCTTTTTTGTGAGAACTGGTTTGTGTTACAAAACAGATGCTCTGGAAAATGTACACAGACTTCAGCTTTGACATGGGAATCTGTTTCCTGGTATCTTTGGAGTTGTTGAGGTAATTGCAGAAAAAGGACTTGGGTAAAGCAAACTCTCTATTTTAAGAGCAAAGACTCTGGTAGCTTCAAAATGAGGGCAAAGTTCCTTCAATATCAAATTGAATGCTGACTGTGATTATGTCAGAATGCCTGAATATCCTGGTCACACTGAGGCAAAAAAGTGAAACAAGTATTTTTCTGGATTCACTGCTTGTCTGACTGAAGTTGAACTATTCTTACTGAAGATCAAAAAAATGAAAGTTCAGTTTTACTGAAGTAAAATCCTGTGTCTAGCTTCAAACAGCAATAACTCATGTAGCATCTCTAAATACTAAAAAGCCTAAGAATCATTACAGTCTTGAGTGCTGCAGTGTTTGAAGTGCAAACGATGCACATATGTGGAGCAAACTGAGTCCACCTAAAAAAGTGCACCTGGGCATTTCTTGCATGGGCAGTTACTGGGCATAGAAAGATACTGCCTGTGGAAGGCATGATATCTGAAGGATATTCACTCAATACACAAACAACAGAGAGCAAACACAATGAATATGGAGCTAATATTTATTTGTTGTTGGTTGAATCATAGCTCACCATGAATTATCACTGGGACCAATACTTTAGTGGTAGAATTCCATCCAAAAGTCAAGTCAAGAAGATTTTGTATTTCACGGAATAAGAAAATTATTTGCACAGATCAGTACCAACTAACTGCAATAACTGCCATAAGGCTTTCTGTAGTAGATGCAGAAGTGGTTTCAAATTTGTTTGCAATGGATTATCATTTACAAGATAGCTTGCATCATAGCATAATTGCAGCATAATAAGATCTGAATAGAAAAACTTAAACCTTTTTTTGTTGTGGATAAATTCAAAGATAGCTTCTGCAGAAGCAAAAAAATAAATCCCTTCTATACAGATAGTCATATAAACCACATCAGTGCATCAGCAAATCAACTGGTATTGTTTGCAACATTCATCCTGAAGATGGAACTGCTAAGGGCAAACCCTACATATTTCTCCTTCAGATGAAAACAGTAAAAGGAGATATTATGCCTATAGTCATTAATGCCTCAAAATATTCCTGACAGTTTTCCATTACTGTGAAATCCATTATCTGCTTGATTATTTTAGACAGCAAGGAAACTGCACTGGGAGAATTTGAGCAAGTTAAAGTTATGCTGTAATCAAGTGGCTTGAACTTTGATATCATCATTTGTAACTCTCAAGTATGATAACACACTTTAGAGACTACCCTGCCTGCAAGTTATTGAAAAAAAAGAGCTTCTAGCTAATTGCCCAAATCTATACTGCATCCTTCAAAAGCTACTCAGCAGATGTGATCATCTAATCTTGAATGTTGTAACAAAAGGTTTGAATCACTTTTTTTCAGCTGCCAAAAGAACTAACAGAGGCATTTTATTTTGACCATGGTGAATACATGGAAATGCTGAGGCATGTTCCCAAAAGATGGTTATCTTTTAACTTGCAGTTGAAAGGAACTTAAAACATTTTCCAGCTATTAGATGTTATTTTATATATTAAAAAATTATTCCAACATGCAATTTTTCAGGATCAAAAGGATCAAGATAATTAAGAGAGGTTTTCAATAAGTGCTGCTCATATTTGCTTCGTAATTGGTATATTGTTAATGACAGATTCATACAACTGCACATACTGGAGGTATTGTAATTCATGACAATATATTAATGAAAAGGTAAATAGCAATGAAGTGTGAGTAATTTACTTGGTCATATGTTACATGAAAGCTCATTACAGTGAAAGATTTTTCATAGAAAAGAATTTCTAATTTGAATAGTTACTAACCTCTCAAATACCTGACTTTAAAGGTTCAACAAAATTAGACATACAGTCTCTTGGACCCTCCCCTGATCTCCAGGAAGGATATATTATACAACTGTTGAAAAAACTGATTATTAATTTTTTATTTGGGAAATATTAAGCTGGGGAATATTCAGCCTTCTGTGATCCAGTGATTTTTTTTAATAGCCTGATACTCTGAAAACCTCTCAATTTCTCAATATTTCTGTATTGCCTCATACCAATTTCTATTTCAGATATACTCCAGAGCAGAAACTTCTCTTTCAACAGATTTGATAAATCATTTAAAAAGTGATCCTTTGAGGTCCTCAGATAAAAGCTAACTTCAATGGCACATTTAGTGTGTTTGATTAATTCATCTAAAATGAAAGAGAAATATTTCAAAGTTAAACATTATGTAAAATAATATACTATAAACAATTAGTGTATCTAATTCTGATAGAAATAAGGTCTGAGTTAAAGGAAACAGCATGTCTCTAGACATGCTTAAAACAGCATTTAATTCTTTTGTTTCACATGCTTCCCTTTACTTCCATGAAAAGATGGTGCATCTCCAACACCCAGGATGGTTTGCAGGAGCACTAAATAGCTCCTCAGGTGTGTTCTGACAGGGCCCAAGCTCCAGCTCTCCCTCATATGATTCCCATGAAGAGCTTGGGAGTCAAAATGCTCCAAGAATCACTCCCTGGAGTGCTTGCACTGCTGCCAGTTCACTGCAGAAGTGGCACTTTTTTGTTGTGTAGAGGAGCTGGCATGTTTATATTTCTGCTGTTTGCTCTTTAGAAAGACAGTAGCAAAGTTAGCAGCTCATTCAGGCACTTGAAATCTTTGTCCAGAGCTGATGACCCTGCTCCATTGCTTTCTGCTGCTGTACAGTGCTTAACTTTGGTGCCCAAAATATGCCTGCTGAACTGGACACCTCTGGGGAGCACTCAGTAAATCTGACTTAGGTGGATAAAGCAATCAGCCAGAGTCTGGCTCTGATTTCATGTTGATAGCAGTTTAATGTTAAATCCCTGGGGTTTGATTCACTGCAGGTTATTACAGTTATTGTAATCTCCATGCTTTGACTCACTGCAGTATTACATTTTCTTGCTATATTTGATATCTTAATTCATGGTATTTTTGTGTACTGCACAAGGATTTGTCTTCCCACTTGATAAGTGACTCAATTTACAATTATACAATACCATAAAAAAACAGAAGTCACAAATAAGATAAAATGGTACAAAATAATGATAAAATCTATTAGAAACATATGCCATAAAGTAATCAGAAACAATATATTTCAAAATAACCCACAAAAAACTATCCTCCCTTCAAGCATTAATTTTATTCTAAACTAAATAATGTTAACAGCTGATTTTTAAAATGCTAGAACAGATACTGTACTCAAGAAAGCCACATGTTCACTTACAGTGAGTTGATCAGTAGCATCACCTTCCTGCTCAGGATGTAAATATATGGGAGTCCTAATTTTCTGTCTTGTTTGAAATTGCCAAGATTTTTGAATAGTCACCCTTTGTAGAGGCAAGGGGGCACTTGTAGACTGGCTCAAGTATGTGCACTATTGAAAATGCATGTGAAGGTGTGAATAGCAAGATAAAAATGTTTGCCTTTATGGTTCAAGAGAGTTAAATTGAAAGGTGGCTGCAAAGAGTATTGTGATACTGAGTGACTGTGCAAGCAAATGGGATATGAAAATTAACTGTGGGTCACCACAAGTAATGGAATTAGAAAAAATAATCAATCTACTTTACATCAATATCGTCAGTGCCTCCAAATTAGCTAATACCTCTAAGGAAAATTATCTGAGAGTGACTGCATTTTCTTCTGGAAACTCACTTGCACTGAAAAAGATCCAATATATTTTTCTCATGTTTCCTGTACTGGCATTGTAGTCCACCAAGCTGTGTAGTGCTGGAACACTGGATCACTTTGTAGTTGATCTTCTTGCTGGTTCCTTCAGATGTAAATATTTCAAGAGCACTGTGTGTATATAAACAACCCCAGGGCTGCCACAACAAATTCATATTTGGCTCATCAGCACCAGACTGGTTCAGTACCTATGCATAGCAGAAACAGAAACACAGAGAGAGCTGCATATCTCAATTTCCCTCAAATGAAGTATTCTTCAGTGCTTAACTAAGCAAGTTACTCAGATGGCTTCATAACACTCCACTGACTCTGGCAGAATTTCTTCATAATCCTCCTGGCAATTTAATTTCACGTCTTCCAGGGGGTATGATACTCCCACCATGTACTGGAACTCCTGCCAGGAGGAAGAGCCAGGAAATACATGGGAAATGTCTCTCATCAACACTAACCAGTTAACTTTATGTGCATCATCCTCATAATCCTAAATTCAGGACATTCCAATGTTACAGAAAATGCACAGGAATCTCAAGCCATGGAAATAAACAGCATGAGGAGCATTACTGCTCAAACTCATCCACTGCTCAGTGCTGGAGCCTTTATCTCATCACACAGAAGCTGCATCAGTTCAACATCAGCCTAAGGAAATCCAGGGCCTCATCCACCTCCCTCTCAGAACTGGGTCACAGCCTGAAAATGTGAAAGTCACTCTTGAAATAAACAGCCACCCAAGAAGTCATACAAAGACATACACATATATCATTACACATGTATACATATATTTATACATTTACTGAGTGTATAATTTTAATATTTGAGAAAGAATTATTGCATCGGTTCTATAAATGGGAAATTGGAATAATTATCTCTTATTCATTAGATCAAAGACAATTTAATGGAGATGCTCAAACAGTCCCTTGAGTGAGAAACCAGTCTCCAGGAGAGGCATCCCCAGTTTTGATCCCATCCCAAAGGAGGGCTAATCACAAGGAAAAAGCCATGGTTGTTTTACCTTCCTGCCAAGGGAGCTCTGTGCCTCTGTAATAGGCAAGGCACTTTCAGCTGAGGACATAAGGAATCCAATATGTACTGTTCTCATAATCACACAGGTACAGAAAGATTAAACAAAACTGGCATTTAAAGCCTTGGAGCCCCAAACTGAAATGAAACTGCAAACTCCTGGATACTGCAATAAGAGCTGCTGCTGAATTGCTGACACATGTAGGCTGCAGAAATACTTCAAAATATGTAACACAGGCCACTGGATGACATGCCAGGTTTGAAGCTGGAAGGTTCTGATCCTGTTCCGCTAGTACGTTACTGTGCCATTTCTGGACACATGCTTCGAATTCTTGATCTCCTGTTTCATAAACTGTGGCATTCAGCTTACTCATTGTATCACATGTTCAATCCCTGATGAATTCATCAGTCTGGCACAAACACACTGTGAGTGAAGAATTGAACAGCATTAGCAATCAGTGTATAATGCAACCACTGCAGCACTAGCAAGGAAAGGTCTGAGATCACTCAGTGATGAGCACTGATAAAGCAGTTCACTACAATAATTTAATAAATTGTTTATCTAGTTTTTTTACATCCTATACAACAATGCAAGAGCATTCCCTGTGTGGTTAGTAATGGTGATGTTCATTATGTCAAAATAAGGAAAAAGAGGTCTGCAGTACATTATATTCTTGCCAAAACACATTTAGTGCCTTCAAGTAGGTAAAATCAGATTACTGACAGCAGAGGGCAACACAGACCTCATTACTGAATAAAGCCACAAATATGTATCAAAAAATCATACCAGCATTTTACTGTATCGAAGTATACACCCTAGCATGATCTATAGATTTGCTGTAGAGCCAAAATTCTGGAAGTAGTAATCTCTTAAAAAATCATTTTGAACATCTATGTGAAATACATGAAAGAGGAAATACATGTAAAAGAGGAAAGCACTACAACAAAGGCAATAACAAATACCTTTACTTTGACTAAATTACATTTACTTTTAGGTGTTTACTGCATAATCAGACATTTCCAGCAGACTTCATCATATCAAAAAGCTGTAACCTTGTAAAATTTTATATTTATTTTCTTTATCTGTGTATATCAATAGCTCCATTTAGTATCCAAAAGATTAGTTGGTTATACCAAAAGTAACACGGTACTATATTGAAAATAGGAAGTTTTACAACTTTTTTTTTGTTGTTGCTGTTCTGTGTTAGCCTTAGGTCTGATACTCATTGACCTTGTGTGTTACACTGCCTCCAAGCCATTTGGCTTGGGAAGGACCATATCACGACTGAAGTTAAAGTTTAAAATCATGTATTTTTAATTCATCTTAGGGCTGAGAGGAGCATGGTGGGGCTCCTCCAGCCATGCAGACAGATACCAAAGGAAAGCCATGCCCTGCACAGGGGCCACAGGGCAGTATCATGGTGTCCACGTCATGGTGTCCACGTCATGTGCCAGAACCATGCCCAACACAGCCGGCAGCCTCCGTGGAAACTGTGCCCTCACACGGGAGGCTGCATCGGACCGCAATGGCTGCTGCCTTCTCGGGAGATTTTTCACCCTGCGGCAGCCCCGGGGACAGCACAGGAGCCCTCAGGGAATTCACATCCCATAGCAGAATCACAGGAACATTTAGCTTGGAAAAGACCTCTGAGGTCAGCAAGTCCAAGCCCGGACCCAGCACCACCACCCTGTCAGCCAGATCATGGTACTGAGTGCCACATCCAGACTTTCCTGAACACCTCCGGGGACGGTGACTGCCACCTGCCTGGGCACTCCATTACAGCATCTAATCATTCTTTCTGTGAAGAAATTTTTCCTAATGACCAACTAAACCTCTCCTGGCACTGCTTGAGGTGATATCCTCTCATCCTGTCACTAGTTGTGTGGGGGAAGTGGCGGACCCACAGCTGGCTACAATCTCCTGTCAGGTGGTTGCGGACAGTGATAAGGTCACCCCCAAGCCTCCTTTTCTCTCGGCTCAACAACCCCCCTCTCCCTTGGCCGCTTCCCATCGGACATGCGCTCCCAACCCTTCTCCAGACAGGCTCCGGTGTGACGGTGTTCACAGGGGTCTTAGGATGAGGGAAGAGACGAGGATCTGACTCCATGTTTCAGAAGGCTTGACTTATTATTTTATGATATATATTATATTAAAACTATACTAAAAGAATAGAAGAAAGGATTTCATCAAAAGGCTAGCTAAGAATAGAAAAAGAAGGAATGAAAAACAAAGGCTTGCGTCTCGGACAGAGAGTCCGAGCCAACTGACTGTGATTGGCCATTAATTAGAAACAACCAAATGAGACCAATCACAGATGCACCTGTTGCATTCCACAGCAGCAGATAACCATTGTTTACATTTTGTTCCTGAGGCCTCTCAGCTTCTCAGGAGAAAAAATCCTAAGGAAAGGATTTTTCAGAAAAATATCATGGCTACACTCCAGCACCTCAGTGCCCTCTCTGGAGTGAGGCGCCCAGAAGTGGGCACGGTAGTCAAGGCGGCCTCGGCGGTGCCGAGTACAGGGGCAGAATCGCTTCCCTAGTCCTGCGGGCCGCACTGGTACAACGCGACGTGGTACCGGTATTCCTGGTACACCGGGACGTGGTTTATCTTTCCGTCACAGCCCGCTCCCGCAGCGGCGCTGCCCAGCCCGGCGTCCGCCAGCGCCCCGGCAGCGGCGGGAGCAGCGCGCAGCCGCCCGCGCCCGGAGATGGCGGCGGAGCAGGAAGCGGGCGGGCGCCGCCATGTCGGGCCCCGCGGCGGAGGTGAGAGCGCCGGGCCTGCTGCCGGGGCACGGGGCCTGCGGGAGCAGCGCTGTGTGTTTCGCCGGGGGCAGCAGGAGGGCGGCTTCCCCGCCTCAATAGTGCCCGGGGAGCCGCCGTCCTTGCCTTGGCGGTGAGGCCAGGGAAAAGTGGCAGGAGGCACCAACGGCCCAGGTGCTCCGCAGCCCGGGTTTGCCCTTCAGCGCGGTGCGAGCCCCGGCTGGCGCTCGGAACCGAGGGGAACGGGGAACAGCGCCCTGAGAAGCGGGGGTTTGATAGGTAGGGCTGTGCTTTCTGTGTTCCTCCTGTCCCGGCTGTGCGGGGCAGCATTTCGCCCCTGTCAGAATTAAGCTAGACGGGTATGGGGGTGTGTGGCAGGAACGGGTGTGAGGAGCCAGGTGAGGTTTAGCTTGGACATCAGGAAGAATTTCTTTACCAGGATGATCAGATGGAATGGACTGCCCAGGGAGGAGGTGGAGTCACCAGTCCTGGAGGTGTTTGAGGACGTGGCACTCAGTGTCGTGGTTTGGTTGACAGGTGATGTTCAGTCATAGGTTGGACTCGATGATCTCAGATCTTTTCCAACCTAATTAACGCTATGATTTTGTGACGTTTTAATGAAGAATTTGGAGAAAACCCCACAGAGTTAGCGTGCCCATGGCATTCTGGGTCACAGTTAGAGCGTGTGCGGCCCACCCGTTTCCTGGGAAGCGAACACGGGCAGATTTGCAGGCTGATCTCCCCAAGTTTCCGGGCACATTTGCGGGCTGATCTCCCCGGGTTTCCGGGCAGATGTGCAGGCTGATCTCCCCAGGTTTCCGGGCACATTTGCAGACTGATCTCCCCGGGTTTTGTGGGCTGCCGACCGAGATGGATGTTCCAGTGGGGATTCTCAGCCGCTGGTGGCATGAGCCTGACCCCCAGCCTCGGCCAGACAAGCTGTCACTTGTGGCTGGCTTTAGCACCAAGAGAATGTGAGCTGATTCCAAATGCACACGGCTGGGCTGCTGCTCCCAGCTACTGTAACCTCCCTTCTGATTTATATCGAAAGTGGCTGTAATTCCGCTCACAGAAGAGGCTGACCTTGGGTTGGAAGCTGCAGGATGGGTATCTGTAATGGTGTTATTATGGGAATTCTTTATGTATTTTTTATATTGGTCTCCATGCAGCATTGATGTCTTAAAATAAGACATATGCTGGCCTAAATATAGAAAGGAGTTAGAGTTCATGCTTTTAAATGTAGTATTATTTTAATAGTTAAATATATAAAAATCTATTTCATTTCAAGTGTATTTCACCCTTTGCTTGAACCAGTACATCATGGGTCTTTGATCAAGACTCTAAAGTATTATGAAATTATCTACTTTCACTTTTAAGTGTTCATATTTTAGCATAAGGAATGTCAGCAGACACTAATAATATTTTACAAATACCACTTGTTTAAATCATACACTTTATCCATTCAGGATGGATGTTCTTTTCAAGAGCATATGTACTCTCTTGCATACAAAGAATTTATTTTTAAAGGAAAAAAGTTGTATAATTTTTCAGTGGAAAACCTGTAAAACAACAAAAAAGTGATATTTAATCTAAGTATGGCCCCAGCAATGGAATGATAAATATAAATAGTGTAGAGCCAAGACTTAACTAAAAAAATTAATGTTAAAGCAATGAAAAGATGGTGTTCATCTGACAAATGATGAAAAGCTTGCAGAAGTTCATAAAGCATGTTTTTATTACTTACATGTTCATAAATTACTTATATGAATTTGTCAGGACAATTTTCCATAAAAAGACATTGCAAACTAAACATTTACCTTTGCTTGTAGTGTGCTAGAATTTAATTCCTTGCTAGCTGTATGTGATAAAGAATAATCTTTAAAGCTATTTTGTCAAGGAAATGTCTTCAAGAGAAAGCATTGCTTATTTCTCTCCAAAATTATTCATATTTTTATTCTGAAGTATTAAGTTAACAAATGTGCTTTGTTGACAAATAAGTCTGAAGTACGTTTATACTTATTTAGGCTTCTGTTTTCAAGACAGTCTGTTTAGTTAGACTTCTGTGCCCCAGTGCAGAGCTCAGTGAAAGAAGGAAGTGTGATCCACCTCGGGAAAGCTTTGTTTAGATTGAGGTTGTCCTGGTTTCAAATAGGTACATCTGCAAAAGGATATAAACAACATTTACGGAGACTAAAAACTAGATGGAAGAAAGTTTGATGAGATCTCTCACTTAAAAGCCAATGTCATACCTGCAGCTCACAACATGTTCTTCTTTTCTGTAGGTTGAAAAAGTGCTAATTCTCCTTGGGTAAATGAACAAAAAATTTAAGATGAAGTTACAAAATAGTGGAGGAAAGCTGTAAAGCCAAGAATGAACATGAAAGGTAACATCTTTATAGGGAAACAGGGAAAGAATTTTCAGTTTTGTAGTTATAATAGAACATGTGAAAGTCTGAATTTTTTTTCAAGTACTGGCTGCTGGAGCCATGTTGTGCATAACACTGTAACCTTTCCTTTTTTAAAAAGGTGTAAACTCCTAATCATTTTCTCTGCAGTGGAAAGATGGGAAGACTAGAGGCTTACAGCTTCATAAGAAATGCTGAATGGTTCCCATTTTTTTTCCTTCTGAGAGCATCATTGTGTATAAGCCACTCTCAGTGTACTAGGAATTTTGAATTATGATATCCCAGTCTTAGGGAGACAATGTTGCAAATGCTTCTTGTGCACAGACATTGAGTAGAGGGAGCAGAGCCAGCTGAGTGATACAATCCCAGTGGTGTTGGAAGAACACCAAAACTTACAATGGACTGCAACTGTTACCTGTATAAGGCAATACAGTCAAAGTATGTTGAAGAAACTGGCTTCTACTTGGAGATATCACGGCCTTCTTGAAGTTTTTTGGCTAGTTTGCTGTTTGAAGTGATTGGAAATATGGATATGAACATTTGCATCCATCCGGGTGAACAGTTAGGAGTCTAAACTATATTGCATAAAAGTAGTTATTTAATAAACGATTACACAAATCAACTTAGATCATATTTCTATTGCCAGGTATGTTTCTTGAGTGAGGGAGAATGTTTATAGTATCCTCTTGCTGTGGGAAAATAGTAAAACATTGTTCATGTTGTCTGTCTGATGTAACAACAGTTCTTTTTTGTTCTAAAATCTGTTACTGTTAAAGACACGTGAATGTTAGGAAATGAAGCAGTAATGTCATAAAGTGCAAAGAACTCTTTCACACAGTGAGGTTTTGGTTCAGTACTGAGGCAGGTGATGTTAAAGGATTGATATTAGCATTTTCTACTTGGCTCAGCTTTAGTTTTGCTCTTCATGATAGAGATGTGTTGGGAAAATGCCGTATTTTCCAGAAGCGTGGATTTTTATGCAGATGATAAGCTGTACTCTTTAGCTTGCAGGAGACTCTGTTAATATATAATCACTAAAGTTACTGTATGGTTTATTGAAAACTGTGTGCAGCTGCAGAAAAGCCTAAATCTCATGATAAATCTTACTGTAGCAGCATTAAGGCACATCTGAGTCATCTGCTAAAGTTCCATTCAACACATTTCTTTTCCTATCTATTGTCACTTGAGGCCAGAATAGGAGGTTATGTTTAGAAAATGTGCCCTGTGTGTCAAAAACCTGACTTTTGACCTGCTTGAAGCCCCAGCTAGTACCTCATACTGACAAGTAGTGGAAAGTGGCTGGGAGAAAAGGGATTCCTCTGCCAGCTTTGACAAGGCTTTGTCATGAAAATTTGAAAAACCAGAGAGCTCTGTGGAACGTTTCTGTGACCTTGTGCCTAAACTAGGAAATGGATTTTAGACTGAAGTTAGTTAATATTGAAAAATAATCTGGTTGTACCTTAGAGAAACCCTGCAAGTGTTTCTTTATGTGAAATGGTACAAATTTTAAAGCAACTAGACACCCACTTTATTTATACATAATTGCCAATAAAACTGCTGATGACAAATCTCTCAGAACTATATATACATTTTATTATTGCCCCCTGAATCATAATGTATTAGAATGTGTTGTGAGTCCATATATCTGTCCAGTTGTGGAAGAGGTTTGCTAATATCTCCACTTGACACTTGTAACCTGTAACTTGTTAAAAGTAAATTTTGTAATGTTTTTTAACTCGATAAAATTTTATTAACTATGTCAACCATATCAATAAAAAATAAAGATTTAATATCAGTGGAATAATGCATCGCTTGTAACATTTTCAGTGTTTCAAGTAGTTAGCTGCTTCAGTCAGTAGAAAAATTCACATGGTTAGGAAGACAGGATATAGGAAAAGCTGAAATATCTTCCAGAGTGAATCAGTTTAACTGTAAATTAAGTTATTAAAAGGAGCCCTTAGCAAGGTAATGTCTGCTGGGATGTGCATCCTCTCTAACATCAGCAGAGCAGCCATGGAACAAGTCAGGGTTTAATTTATCTGGTGTAGCTGTGATATATTGAACCTTTTCATGAGCTCTGGCTTACATACTGGTGTCAAATGAAGCCAGTGGCTAAGCAGTCTGGTAAGGACAACAGCTTTCCCTATCTCATTAAATCCATGCATGTTTGATCTTACTAGAAAAAATGTGCTGACAGCTCTGCATTGGGATTGATCCCTGAGGCTTGAGAATTTCATTATGTGCTCTATTGATTGTTTAATTATTTTTAAAGAATATCAGAATTTAATTAAACATTGAGGGTTCTAGAAGAAGCAACTCCAAATAAGGATTAAAAATTGGCTTTGAAAAGGGGATACTCTGTGCATCTTCACATGAATGGGATACACTCTACCATCTCTCCTCTTCAAACTTGCTAATTTGGGAGGAAAGCTGTGGGAGAATGATTTCACTGGGAGAAACACAGAGTGGAGACAGTTTAGCTCCAGATTAGTTGAGTGCTGTAGTTCAAGCAGTCACTGATGTAAAAGGTGCAGAACAAAGCTACTTCTCCATATTAATACTGTGTACTCCAGTGCTTCTGGATCTGTGAGTGGGAGGTGATCCTTGGTCAGTGGGGTGTCAGTGGCCATGGACAGCTGGAAATTATACTGTTGTATTGCCTCAGTTCTCATTGTATTCACTTAGCTTTATTCATGTGGCTGTTCTTTGAAGATGAACTTCTAGTTCTGAATGTTTTAGGTATGGGAGGCAGTCCTGTGGAGAAGCAGGAAGAGCTCTGTTTTTTGCTGAGATGAAATAAAAGCTCCAGTAAATGGTTTCTTGGTGACATTGTTGATATCTGCTTTCCCACTATAGATAGGATGGAGAAATGTT